TCCAATTCGCATCTTCTGTTACTCTCAACATCTAAACGTTGGATTTTCTGCTTAAACACAGTGTTTAACGTCGGCTTGACATAATTATAACCAATGCACCGATGATATCGTAGCTTAACTATTTGTAAGCGCAAGCCACTGTTCAAATCCATAAACCTATTGAAAAACTCGTATTTAGCAAAACCATCGATCTCCAAATCCAACCCAGGCACGTCTTGCCAGAGATTTCTCCATCTGCGACATACAAGGCTAGTCCTGACAACATCCTCCGTGGGAAGATGGAAAAGTATCTCACAAAGCAAACAATCTGGTAACTGGTTAATCATATCTTCCTCTCTGACTCTATAATATCACCAATTGTGATTAAATAAGAACGAATGAGTATATATAGTAAGAAGCCATGGTGATTTCATCCAGAGTTGGAAAAGGAAAGGTCTAGACTCAAATCATCACGAAAGAGTATTGAACAAGGAATCACTTGGCTGATCATGTATTCACGTTAATGCGACCGGCTATATATAAGGTCAGTTCAGAAGGCTAGGTCTTATCTCATATATTCTCCTAAAAATAGGAAAAAGGTTAGCTCTTAACTTTTTAAGAGGATCGAAGATAAGGATCCTGTTTACCTTTTTATCTCCCAAAAAAGGAATTTCCTTAGTCGAGTGAGCAATTTGGTTTCTATTCAGTTTTTGATTTTCGGTTTAGCTCTTTTAAGAATTAAAAAAATGGTTATTTTGTTCAATAATGACGTTAACTAAAATGAATTAAAAATTGAGAAAGGAACAATCTGCCACTGATAAGCCTACTACAATAAGTAGGAACCTGGTCAGAGTTCATTGGGCAGAACAGAAATTAAAACCCGAGTTTTTTCTGCCTTCAAGATTATTAGATAGAGAGACAGCTGTTGTTGAGGATCTCACATTACAAACAACACACAAAGCGATCCGGAAAAGCTCAAATAATTTCCACTGGATTACTGTTAATTAACTAATGGCCGGAAACAAACCTTTATTTCTCTCTAGACCACTGGATTATATAACACATGATTTAAGAGATAGCCTCGTACGCTGGCTCAATTATTCCATGACAACTTGACACTTTGTAGAGCTTCTTGGTATCGCCTTGATTTCGTTGATGATGTTACAGAAACTCATACTTAGTGTCAGTTTCTTGAGAGTTGCACCATTCTCTACAAAATACTTGGCTAATTTCATCTTACTCGAAGTTCCAGTGAGCGGTGTCCCTTCCTCATGTATCTTTACCACATATGGTGTCTTCAGGTGAACAAACTCGAGCGTTGACATAAAACATTGTGGCACAGATGAAAGGTCAACTTGCTCTGTCTCTGGAAGGCAGTCAAATTCCTAACAATATACAAGGGAAGTTTGAGTTTTCTATTATCATGAAACTTCAAAATGATTTACATGAGAGCTTGAGAAAAAAAGAAAAAAAAAAAAAACTCACCAGGACGACATAGTGTAGATTTGGGCAGCTCTCGAGAAAGGTTGGCAACATTTCCCAGGAAGTTTCCATGAAGTAAGCATGCAAGCGAGTCAGGTTAGAGAATTGAGGTAGTAGCGGTTCCATTTCCAAGTAATCATGAATAATCTGTGCATATGAGGAAAAAAAAAAAAAAAAAACATGGCGTCACTCATGAGACAATGTGATAAGGAAATTTGGTATTGAATCAACTTGTATATAAATTATATTACACTTAGAGTCTCAGCAGAGATGATCATGTCGCTGACTGTAGATAACCCTGCGAGAAACTTCCCAAGCATAGCTCTCTTGGAGGAATCACCAGGGTCCAATGAATCACAATATTCCACATTAAAGATGACATCAATGTCTACCTTCGCACAAGGACCGATACTGTGTATCACGAAGCTGTCAGATTGGTGATCGCTGAGAGTCATACACTCAAGCCTTGGAGCATCGATTGCAACAACCTGATCTTCACTTTCATAACGCTCAGCCTCTATTCTGAAGCTCTTTAGCGATCCGGAGCGAACACATACAGCTTCAAGAGAGTCGTTAGGATCACGGATTATGGTTAACTCTTCGAGAACAGGACAGCTTGATATCAGAGTCTCCAGAGTCGAGTCAGCGTCGTATTTGACCATCTCCAGATGCATGATCTTGACACAAGGCAACGAGACTGATTCTTCGGGATGATCCAAGGCCGTGCAGTAGAGATTTAAGCTGACTAAACTCTCGCATGAATAGAGAGATTGAGGCATCTTAACCAATTTTTCATCATCATCAACCTCGTTACGAACATTAAGATGACAGATTCTACGCCTAACCACAGCATTGATCCAAGACTTGAAACGAGCATCATCATGCTCATAAACCTCATAGATCAGCTTGAATCTATTCAAGTGTTGCTCATTGCCAGATCCGAGAAACCTATCTACGAAACTCAGGAAAACGGCATCGTCTTGGAACTTATTTGAATCCATGTCCAATGCAGGGACATGTAACCAGAGGTTTCTCCATCGTTTCGATAAACCGCTGGTGGAAACTGATTCCTTCGTGGTGAGGTCAGAGAGTATCTGACATAGCAACGAATCAGGTAAATTGCTTATCTTATCAGAGTTCATTTGTTTCTTCTCTTTGACAGATGATTCACCATCCATGTCTAATGCCTAGAATCCTGAATTTCAGAGATATAAGTCTGAGATTATTCTCGCAAATACGATCGCAAAGTTTGCAAAAAGTCAATGAGCTACTGAAATTACCTTGAAATGAAGTCTTTTTTCCGCAAGAGATACTGGCGAGAGAGAGGAAGAACAAGATGAAGCCACCGTCAACTGGCCGGGGCTGTATCGGTAATATCACAGAGATCTTCCCTTCGACAAAAATGTAAGATGCTTATGGATATTTACTACAGCCATCCACGTGCACATTACATCAACGGACTAGATGTAAGCTTATTATCACAGGCTGTCACCCCCCGTGACGTTAGCAATTACGCCATTTTTGCTGAGAGTTATTTCAAATCTCAGTTTACACCTTCACACCGCGTCTCTCTTTCTCTCTCTCTCTCCTTGAGATTAATCGCTGAGGAGAAGCAACCACCTGAGACGGCGGAGATGGCAGGGTACAGAGTGGAAGACGACTACGATTATCTCTTCAAAGTTGTTCTTATTGGCGATTCCGGAGTCGGAAAATCGAATCTCCTTTCCAGATTCACCAAAAACGAGTTTAATCTCGAGTCTAAATCCACCATTGGCGTCGAGTTCGCCACGCGGACCTTAAAAGTCGATGGTAAGGTCGTCAAAGCTCAGATTTGGGACACTGCTGGTCAAGAGAGGTTCGTTTTTCGTCTTCCATGTCTCTCCATTTCGTTTTTCGGTTTTAAATTTGTCGATTTGTGTATGTGAATCGGCCGTCAAGCTAGATCTCGCTCGATGAACGTATTGCACTATTAGTTTCTTCATAATTTTCTGGGTTAATTAGTCTTGAATACATCAGAAACAAGAGTCACTGTCCCAGAGATCACTCTAACAGTCAAAGCTCATTTGCACAGATCTATCTTTTGATCCGTTTGTCTGGCATAATTTGAGCTCATGAAACTACCTTTGAATTGAACCTATCAACCCAATCTGCGTGTTTTTTTATTATCATCATTTGGTAATCAGAATTGAACCTTTATAAAGAGATGAATTCTCATATACTCTAGGTCTCTGATTCATTTACTGGCTTCCTCTATGCTTGTTTTTTTTTAACATTTTTTTGCTTTAGGAGTAGTGGATATGTTCAGCAGTATTTCTACTAGAGAGACTCTCTGTCGTTGACTATTAATACTCAAACATTGCTCTTCTGAAAACGGTCTTCTGAGGTTGACTGCATTTGACCACCATTGAAGGATATAATGTGGAGTTGCTTGATAATGTAGATTAAAAAATAGCCCTTCTTCTGAAAACAAGTCTATGGCTTTGTCTCAAATACGACTATGATTGTTGAATTGAGTCTCTTTCTGGTGTATTGTTAGAATGTAAGCAAAGAACTTGCTCTCTTGATTAGTAGTAGACTTGTTCCATTGAAACGATTGTTTTACTGCCTTCTTTGACCCGGCAATTAAATTTATCCCTATTTTTGGCTAAATTGTTGGATATCGATTCGGTATGCTCATCCTTGATAAAAACATATCATGACATTTCTTGTACTCATTATGGTACGATCTACATTGGCCTTGAGATTGGGATAAGAAAAGTTAAAATCATATAGGAATTTTCATTCTATGACAAATGATGATAAAGCCTATCACTTTATCATCACCTTTGCTTGAATTTGTCATTGATTCTCGGCACAATTTTAAGACTCTTAGTTTGATTCTCGTCGCAGGTACCGTGCCATCACCAGTGCATACTACCGTGGAGCCGTGGGTGCACTCCTAGTATACGACGTAACCCGACGTGCAACATTTGAGAACGTAGACCGGTGGTTGAAGGAGCTCAAGAACCACACAGACCCAAACATCGTGGTGATGCTCGTTGGTAACAAATCTGACCTGCGCCATTTACTAGCTGTTCCGACAGAAGATGGAAAATCCTACGCTGAGCAAGAGTCGCTTTGCTTCATGGAAACATCTGCCCTTGAAGCCACCAACGTCGAGGACGCCTTTGCAGAGGTTTTAACGCAGATTTACCGCATCACAAGCAAGAAGCAAGTCGAAGCTGGTGAAGATGCCAACGGTTCTGTCCCAAAAGGAGAGAAGATCGAAGTTAAAAACGATGTCTCTGCTCTCAAGAAACTCGGCTGCTGCTCAAATTAAAGACTTTCTTTTTATCAATCTGTTGAAAGAGAATTATAACACCATGGTCCATTGTTCGGTTCTGTTCTTGTTTTGTAACAATATCGACATTTATATGAGTTTTAGACTATACATTATATAATGCTTCTTAACTTTATCTCGATTATTGTTGATCAAATCAGTTTCAGACTATATAACGCAAGTGTTTTCAGAGTAACAGTCTCAGTCTTGTTTAAAGCACCAGACATCAGTGATAAACTGATTCAATCTTTGTCCAAACGTCTTGGTAGAGAACGACTCGACGACATGGTTCCTAGCTTCAGTACCCATCCTGTCAGCTAACTCAGAATTTCCGATGAATTTAGCCATTGCCTTGCTGAAATCTTCTGGAGTCGGTTCACATAGATAACCGGTTACTCCACTCTTCACTGTTTCCACAGGACCACCGCTATTGCACGCGATCACGGGTTTGTAAGCTGCCATTGCCTCTAATGGAACAATCCCAAAATGCTCATCCTGCAAAATCAAACTTTCCGGTTTGGTTTCTCGAAACAGACAACAGATTCTCGTTGGCCATGAGAATGAATGAGATCAATAATATGGTTTTTACCGTTGGTGTGTAGAGAACACACAAGCAATTTGAGAGAAGTTCGTTTCTTTCGGGTGTTGAACAAGATGCGATAAAATTTACTCGATCAGACACGCCTTGCTTCTTAGCTAAACTTTTGAGATCCTCCAGATATTCTACATTCTCCCTCAATCTTTCATCATAACCCCCTGGAAGACGAGTTTTCTTAAAGCAACGAACCGAGTGAAATTTTTACAGAGAGAGGGGAATAGTAAAACTTGCCTGCAACAGTGAGGGTAATGTCATCTAGATCCTCTTTATCTTTGCATAGTATTGCAAAAGCTGAAACAGCCAACTCTATGTTCTTCTTCCTCTCAAACCGGTTTATGGAGAGAAAATTCAACCTACATCAAAAGTCGTTAATTCAATTCTTTAACTGAAAATTTGAAGTTTCAGGGATTATACAATTACTTATAAGCAAGGGGTTTATCGAACTGATTCACGTTGACTGCTGGATAGAGAACATCCGGACGAACTCCTCGGGCATTAAGACGTTTAAATGTATTGGCAAATGTTGATTCCGTGAATTTACTGTTTACAAGAATCAAATCTGCCATTCCTATAAAACCAAACAAGTAATACATAAGAACAGCGAATTCAAATAGAGAAAAAGAGTTAAAGAGTGGTGAAGACTGAAACCTGTGGTTTCTTCTTCGATAAAGTCGATTGGTTTGCGATACATTCGCCTGAGCGGACTAGTGTGTTGAGCTAGCAAAAGATCAGGGAAATGGCAATAGAAAACAACCTGTGAGACCACAAAATGTGATTACGCTACAAATAAATCAAGTGATCTTGAGATTCTCTACTTAGATTTATAACCATCAGTAGTGAGTAAGTACCTTTGTTGGTCTTTTGTGTTTCAGCAACGGGATAACAACAGAGACCTGGTCCGCTAATATAACATCAAACGATGACCATCCCAAAATCACACAGAGAGCCACAAACAAACATCTCAGATACGCACACACGGCATGAAGCCGGTAGAAAATATGCCGTGGCAAGAACGAACCATACACCGTCACTCCAAAGATACCTGAATACTAAATTCAGTTAGATATGGATCATGAAACTTGAACCCTCTAGGAAATGTAACTGAAAACATGTCTACAGTCTAGAACAAAGATCCGAATCTGTCTAGGCTTATCACAATGAGCGTAACACAACAATGGTGGAGAATCAAAAATCTAAATGCAGAGTTTCTTCTAACATCATCTTACGCACCAGAATAAATAAGATTTAATTTGAAGTTTCCTCTTGCTCACCGGAGAGAGTTTCCTCAAAGCATCTGGATTTATCGTGGTGAGAAGTAAAGACATGAACTTTATGACCGTGAGAAGCTAGCTCAACCGCTGCATCCACAATCAACCTTTCAGCTCCACCTACAAAAGTGTTTTTTTTTCGATAGCAGATCAGAGATTCATAATCCATTGAAATGGTTTCTCAATTACGCGAACTCGGCCAATTTTTTTGGATCAAATCAAATTGGACTGAATTATAAGCGGGAAAGTGAGTAATCTGATGAATGTAGTGGGTACCTATTCCAAGATCTGGATGAATTATAGCGATATTCATCTTCGATCGTCGTTTTTCCTCCATTTTTGAATCTGATTTCTCTGTTTTTGTATCTTCAAAAATCAAAACCGAAACTTCAGAACCGGGTCGGGTTGTCGGGTTAGGTCTCATTTTGCTTACACAACCAAAAAACGACAACGTTTTTGAGCAAACTCTTTAGAGAAGAAAGAGCAAAGAAGAGAGAGGGAGAGGAAGAAGAAGATAGATAAAAGCGATTAGGAGAAATGATGGAGGAAGGTCCACCGGCTCCCAAGGTTCTCCGAATGTTCTTCTTCGTCGGCGCCGGATGTAAGTCATAGCTTTATGCTTCATTTGTTAGTTTCTGTATCCGAAAACTTCGATTGTCGTTAGTTTGATCGATTGAAATACAACAATTTTTTGCCATGAGTAATCTCGCAGTTTTATGTACTTTCGCGATCAATAAATGGCGTGAGATGGAGAGAAACTCAATCCTGAAACAGGAGGAGAAGAATCAACAAGGAGATGGAGGTTTATTGCATCAGATTCCTGCAGATTCGGTTCAGAAAGCCATGAAATGATAACTTCTCTCTTTTTTATTTTTGTAAGCTTATCTGTATTGTTTCGATCCAGATGCAAAACATGTTGCAATTCTAGTCTCGTTGACCTAAATTTTGGACCCAATTTCTGCATTTTGTTAAACCCTAGAGTGCCAAAAACAACACTAATCGTGAAATTCGCGTTTAGACTGCAAAATTGCGATTAAAATATTTAAACCGGTACTAAACCAAATCCGATCCGATTCGATTCGAAACCAGAACCTGCCCAATCCTACCCAACTGGAAAAAAAGAAAAACTGTTTCTACAACGATTCGAACCAAGGGCCGCTGGATCGTATCACTACTCGCTACCACTGGACTACCTAGGAATTTACCGTATACTGTTACAACAGTATGTATTTACTTGTTTCCGTCGAATTAAATATTTGCTCAAATTTTCCTTACTGTTTGCTTATATTTTTTGCAGTATTTGCTTATATTTTTTTTTGTTATTTGCATATTGTTAACGCTCACAAAAATTATTTAATAAAATGATTCGGAAGTGCTAGTTGCTTAATAGCTTATTTTTATAATTACTTAGACAATGTAAGTAAAAAATTATTATTATTATTATCATAATTTCTTAGACAATGTAAGTCAAAAACAAAATTATTATCGAGCGTGGTTTTATTCATTATCATGATACTTATATTGTTTGCCCTCCAATTTTACAATGATATATTTTTCTCAGGTATCTTGAATGCTTAAATGTCAAAGCTCAAGCTTGCTTGCCTATCATCAACGGGATTCTCATTGCGATGAAGAACAAGACTCACCCAAAAAACTGCGAACATCGATTTGCGGACTGATGTCGCTAACCACAAGGTAAGTCTTATGAAAACTTTTTAACTACATTTTTTCTAAGTTTCACATGTCTTGGTCTTCTTTACCAAATGAAGGGATACAAGCTAACCACCCAAGGTAAAAGCTTGGGTAAAATGGTTCTCTACATAACTATAGGCAGAAATATATGTCAAATGATTTTATGTAAAGTAATATTTATAAGAATACAATTGCATGCCATGGACAAAATATCATATACACAATAATCAGACATGATGTTTGCATTTTACCCCAAGAATTATATATTTTCTCAAAATTTTCTTATTATTTGCTTATATTTCTTCTGTTATTTGCATAAAAATGTTACTCCTTCCGTTTTTTTTTTTTTTTGTCAACACTTCTTCCATTTTATATTAATTGTTGTTGTAGAGATAAATCATGATTAAAACTGTTGAAAAGACATTTCATGAATTGGTAAACATGTACTTCAAAACTTACAAAACCCAAAGCCAAATTTTAATAGTTCAATGAGTCATTATCATGCATCAGTCTACATATAATCTTCGTAAATTAACATTATTATGGAATTGTTTTGAAACTTTTAATCCACGTTAATTTCACTATCAACATGTGAATCGTACAAATGTGACTTTATAACATTGGTGCATCTTAGAACTCAACCCTTAATTCGTTTTTGTATTTATAAAACTTCCTATATAAAATGTATGAAGAATATATTAACCATATATTAGTAGAGTACTAAAACAGTTCTTGAAAAATGTGTTATTTAGCATTGAGTGAATCAGAATTTAAACAACCACAAATATGTTTTTTTCTCTGTAAAATGCATGAAGAATATATTTATAAGAGAAAAAATAGTTAGATTAACACTAATTCAAAGAGATATTCAATATTTAAATTCTAATTTTGACTTGAACGACGACCCGGTTTATTAATGACCCCTGAGATTTCGGTTATTTTCCTTAAACCACCGGTCTGATACAGAATTTCCGAATTAATTCCGGTTGAACACGTGTAAGCTTGTTTCTCACTCGTGCCTCCATTGTATGTAATGTATGTGTGTGTAAATCATCTTTCCTTCTCTCTATTTCTCAATTCTCTCTCAGTCAGCGTTTTTTCTAATCAATCCTGTTTCCTTGGATTAGATTCGAATCTGAATCACAAATCTCCGAGATCTACTTTCCTTCCGGCGTCAGTGTATTTCGTTTCCCCGACGGTAAGTGATGTTTCACGTGGAAGAAGGAAGCAGTGCAGACGGCGGGTCTGAGATAACCGGAGATGATTCGACGACGTCATTGTCGCGATGGAGTTAAGAATGATTACGATGATGATTTTGACGATGAAATACGACGACGAGGTGTATGACGAGCATCAACACGCGGAAATGGATTTGATAAGCAACTAACTGGGCCTCGTTCTGTTAGTATTGGGCCTCTTATACTATCTGCGTTTTAACATTTCCTCTGGTTTGATCATGAAAAGAGCGGCTGACATAACAAAGACGCATACCAAGATTAAAGAATTTCAAACGTAGAAGCATTCTTATTTTCCGATTTTGTCTTAAACATATTCAAACCAACGATAAAAGTGAGAAGTAAAAACAGAGTTTACACGCGACAGGGTCACGTTGGAGACGGTTTCTTGGGAAACAAGATATCACTTCTCTTTAGATTCTCATAGCATCGAGGTAAGATTTCCCGTAGAGTTCACGGGAGAACAAGCCTTTCAAGTAGTCTTTCGTTTTCAGGCTTCTGAAATTTGCACCTTTTCTTTGCTTTTCAACGAGGCTTTTCGCCGGAGCAACTTCTTTATTCAGTCCAGGATTATGAAACGTCGCAATAGACAACCTCTCTTTCTCCGCGTTCACCACCGCGCGATGCTCCATGCTTCTGTATGTCCCGTTCGTTACGATCTACATTACCAACACCCATGAGTCCATGACCATCATCAAGACATTTCTCACATACGTACAAATTAATGTTGTGGTGGAACCCTAGTCTAATTGCAAATGTGGACATTCATCAACAACATCTCTATATATCACATGATATGTTCTTTCTCGCGCTATCTCTTCATATAATATACGGCTTATACCTCCAAGACGTCTCCAACATTGACAATGAAAGCATTTGGGAGAGGTTTGACAAAAAACCACGTGCCATCTTTCTTGATTTGGAGACCTTCAACTTCAGTCACCTGCAATAGTATGGTGAGTCCGACCGCATCAGAATGCGGAGTTAGACCGACAACCTTATCTGGTTGTGGACACGGCGGGTAGTAATTCATCCTCATACTCTGGAACATATCATCACCAAATGTTTCTTCTATTTCCTCTGTTTTGATCAGCAGGGTTTTCGCCATTTTGGCTATCAAGTTCTTAGCTATATTCTTCACTTCAGCGGAATACATCTCCAATGTATCTCTGAAGAACAGAAACTATAATTTAATTAAACACAGAAATATTTTGTGGGGATTAATGCTAACGCTTTTAGATGCATGCAAAACCTAAAAGGAAGAGGTAGCTTGGGGAACAAGTGAGGCTTGCGTAAATGAACAGGTTGCACGATAACGAAGAACAAATCTGCCCAGTCGAGTTTCTGATCTTCTGAAAGCACAAAAGCTTGTCCGAAACCTTCCATCTCATTTGGGTTCTGCCAAAACTTTTTCTTTTCTTCCATGGGAAGGTTGAAGAAATCTTGAATCTCCGACTTCAGTCTGTCCAAGAAACTTGGGTCTATTCCATGGTTTACAAGCTGTATACATCACAACGTAAGACAAATTAATTTTTCAAAACATGTGTTATTTTGTAAGCTCCACGTGAGGTCTATAACTATAACATAAAATATTTAATCATTTGTGGGTTATTGTAAAACAAACAGTGTATAGTTTGAGACTTTGCCTGGAAAAATCCACATTCTTTGCAAGCCAAGTCGAGTTTCTCAACCTCAGAGTCAGAGTCGATGGCGATAGAAGAAGACAACCGCTCCATGTCGATGATTGGGATCTCAGTTATCAGACTAGAATCATCGGCGACTTCAATTTTGTCTTGATCAGATCGAACATACCTGGGAGGAACAGTGATCATCTTCTCCTTCACCATCTCTTGAACAGAAGGAACTATGATCGAGCTCCACTGGGTGTCTCCTTTGGCTTCCATGGCGGTTTTCTTTCTTGGATAAAACAGAAAAATGTTTGATGTAGATAAAGCTGAAAGCCAAATCTACTTGATTTATGGAAGACTGCTTTTGGTTTTATATGAGCATATGCTTGTAAGGAAGTATTATCAAGCGGTTCACGTCGATCAAGGAAAATTAATACTTATGTCGTATATCTGCAGTTTAAAGTCGTATATATACATATATGAATGGTATTAGCCTATAAGTACAATCTCGTTAGTTTGTTTTTGTTGAGATAATTAATGAGTTGACGAGTATTTTCATAATATAGACGTATATTTTCACTCTCTTGGTATGATTTTTTAGAAATTCCACCAATGTATTCATTGCCAGTTAGCTGTTGAATCCAATCAACTAGGATTTTCCTTTGAAAATTGACATCAGAGCCTGATTCAGTCTGATTCATCATTTTCTTCCTTTCTTGTTGTAATTAGCATTTGGAGTCGTATAGGTTACCATAATCAGCTGACTAGTGGAAAAGACCGAAAAGCCTCTAGGCGGTGCGTGAGAGTGAGTCTCAAACATCACAACGCGGTAAGAAAGTCTGTCACCACGTTGAGCACCACTCATTAGTCAGTCATTACGCCATGATGTCTTCATGTGCAAATATTCAGTTTTGGTTTGTATTAAGTATTTCTTTATTCATTCTTTCACTTATTCTATCTTTCCTCAACGTACAAATCGGATCCTTTTGGTTTGTATTAACTATTAAGTGTTTCTTATTTTCACATTTTATGCAAGTTAAAAAGAAAATGATATTTTTATATTTTACGTAGACAGTTAACTCTTCAAAATTTTCTATATTTTTTTTATTTTAAGTAAATCTTAGCAAAAGAAAATCATATTAGAATTCTAAAAACAAAAATTAGTCTTAATAAGTGAAACTTCTAAAAGGTAAGGAATATTAAAGTTGCAAAGTTACTGTCCAACCAATCCTATTTTGTAATTTTTACCGTGAATCAGTTGAGGCGTCGAAGTCGCCGTCGTGGTTAAAATCTCCAAAGCGTTTACCTTTTGTCAAGAAAAAAAAAAGGTCCAAAGCGTTTCACACCAAAATCGACGAAACGCGCGGCCAACACGCACCTTCTGTGCACCAACCAGCTAAACGTTAAGGGTATATTTGTCAATCGCAGTTCTCTTCTTAATTATATATTCATTTCTTCCTTCGATCGATCCCTTCCTCTCCAAGAGCCTCGCTGCTCGAGTCTCTTTCTTTCCTTTCGAAGACCTTTGAATATATTCATTCTTTTGGTCTCACACTCCAAATTTTCAGGGCTTTCGTCATTTCATTATCCTTGAGAAGTTCACTGGTAAGCTTCGAGTTTCCGAAAATCTCGCTATTCTCGTTTGCATTTTTTATTTTCCGCGATTGTTGCATAATCATTTTGCTTCACTGCTATTTTTGTTCTTTCTTCTTGTATTGTTTTAGGCTTCGAGCTTGCTTTGTAGTTGATTTCGTGGATATTTCTTCACTTCCCGATACACGATCAATTTTCAGAATCGAGATTTATCGTTTTTGTTTCTAAAGTCTGCTTGTTCTGGCGCTATATATCCTCTGATCTGGATCTCCGATTTGAGCATCAGAATAAGAAGCTGATTTTATGAGTTGACTACTTCATGTGTGTCCATGATACATTTCAATTTAGTTTTACTTAGATCTGGCGATTTGAGACTCAAATCTCGAGCTTGCTGTGTATTCTACCTGCAGATCGGATTCTTCGTGGATTTATCGAGATTCTGTGTGTGAACACTGTTTGTTTGATAATCTGTACTAAATTTTGTTCAAATCCAGGAAAATCTCGTCGTCTCATGGCGTCATACACTCCGAAGAACATTCTAATCACCGGAGCAGCCGGTTTCATCGCTTCACATGTCGCCAACAGGCTCATCCGGAGCTATCCGGATTACAAAATCGTCGTGCTCGACAAGCTCGACTACTGCTCCAACCTCAAGAATCTCAATCCGTCGAAACAGTCCCCGAATTTCAAGTTCGTCAAGGGCGATATCGCCAGTGCGGATCTGGTCAACTATCTCCTCATCACCGAAGGCATCGACACCATCATGCACTTCGCCGCGCAGACTCACGTCGACAACTCGTTCGGCAACAGTTTCGAGTTCACCAAGAACAACATTTACGGGACTCATGTGCTCCTCGAGGCCTGCAAAGTCACTGGACAGATCAGAAGGTTCATCCATGTGAGCACAGATGAGGTCTACGGGGAGACTGATGAGGATGCGGTTGTTGGTAACCATGAGGCTTCTCAGCTTCTCCCAACGAATCCTTACTCTGCAACGAAAGCTGGAGCTGAGATGCTTGTTATGGCGTATGGTAGGTCGTATGGGCTTCCCGTTATAACCACACGTGGGAACAATGTGTATGGACCTAACCAGTTTCCTGAGAAGCTGATTCCTAAGTTCCTCTTGCTGGCGATGAGAGGGAAAGTCCTTCCCATTCATGGAGATGGCACGAATGTTCGTAGTTACCTTTACTGCGAAGATGTTGCTGAGGCGTTTGAGGTTATTCTTCATAAAGGAGAAGTTGGACATGTTTACAACATTGGTACCAAGAAAGAGAGGAGAGTGAACGATGTTGCGCAAGACATCTGCAAACTCTTGAACAAGGACCCTGAGGCAAACATCAAGTTTGTGGAGAACAGGCCTTTTAACGACCAGAGGTACTTCCTCGATGACGAGAAGCTTAAGATCTTGGGGTGGTCAGAGAGGACCACATGGGAAGAAGGTTTGAAGAAGACGATGGAGTGGTACACGCAGAATCCGGATTGGTGGGGCGATGTTTCTGGAGCGTTGCTTCCTCACCCGAGGATGCTGGTGATGCCTGGTGGGAGACACACTGATGGGTCTGAAGAGAGCTCTGGAGCAGTCTCTTTATCTGGAAACTCGAGTCAGAGCCAGATGGTGGTTCCGACTCCTAGAAGCAATGGCTACACTCAAAACCCTTCGCTGAAATTCTTGATATACGGTAAAACAGGATGGATTGGGGGATTGCTTGGACAGATTTGTGAGAAGCAGGGGATTGCTTTTGAGTATGGGAAAGGGAGGCTTGAGGATAGATCATCCCTCTTGCAAGATATTCTGAATGTTAAGCCTAGCCATGTCTTCAATGCTGCTGGTGTGACAGGAAGACCCAATGTGGACTGGTGCGAGTCTCACAAAACAGAGACAATCCGTGCCAATGTAGCAGGCACTTTGACTCTGGCTGATGTCTGCAGAGAGCATAGCCTCCTGTTGATGAACTTTGCTACTGGTTGTATATTCGAATACAATGAAAGCCATCCGCTAGGTTCAGGCATTGGCTTTAAAGAAGAAGACACACCAAACTTCACTGGCTCATTCTACTCGAAAACCAAAGCCATGGTAACATTTTTTTCATGACTTCATCTACACCATAAGGTTTCATGTTTGCGTAGGTATGCTTATCTTGTTAAAATGGTGTTGTTGGGATCCATCGTAGGTCGAGGAGCTGCTTAAGGAGTTTGATAACGTGTGCACTCTAAGGGTTAGGATGCCGATTTCCTCTGATCTAAACAACCCGAGAAACTTCATCACCAAGATTTCCCGGTACAGCAAAGTAGTGAACATCCCAAACAGCATGACCGTGCTGGACGAGCTTCTTCCAATCTCGATAGAGATGGCGAAAAGAAACCTGAGAGGGATTTGGAACTTCACCAACCCTGGTGTTGTGAGTCACAATGAGGTCCTGGAGATGTACAGAGACTACATCGACTCAGACTTCAAATGGGCAAACTTCACACTAGAGGAACAAGCTAAGGTCATCGTTGCTCCTAGAAGCAATAACGAGATGGATGCATCTAAGCTCAAGAAAGAGTTCCCTGAGTTACTCTCAATCAAGGAGTCTCTGATCAAATATGCCTTCGAGCCAAACAAGAGAACTTGAGGTAGTGTAACTTATCTCAGTTTTGTTTAAACCTGTTTGTGATTAGTTTCTCCCTCAGAGTCTTAAACCAAAAGCAAACTAGCTTTGCCTTTAGATTTATCCTTTAAGCCGTATATCTAATTTGGATTCTTATATGTTTTTGTTTTGTTGGTATTGTGTTCTTGTTCCACATTTGATAGATAAAAACTAGATTTCTATATTATTTGATTTTTCTGATAATATTACAATTTCAAGACCTAATAAGGTTACGGTTTTAGCCAAGATTCATATTGACAGATCCCAATTAAAGCAATGATAAATTGCTGATGGTAGAAAAATTTCTACCTTTATTTCTTCTTTATAAAGAAAAGACTGGGAACCATTCGGTTCCTACAAATGCTGAAATAACTAAGAAAATGGGAGAGCCACTAAGAGTCATGCTCCTACATTTCAGAGCAGTGGTCTCCTCTTATTTTAAACAAATGATCAAACAAAAGATTTAAATAAAACGATTCAGTCAACATACTTCAGAGTTTGGCTTCCTGGTCTTCCCGCCATTGGAGTGTTTCAAATTTGCGTTTGCATCGCTATTAGAAAATGAGCCAGTCGTTCTTGTCATTGCATCTCCAACTGAGAGCATGTGGAGAAAATCCACAACATCGTGAGATGAGTCAATGACATAGCGAGCTTTTGTGCGAGCTTGTCCAATAGATGCAGAGAAATAATTCTCTTTCTTGAGGTCAAGAGCGTTCAATGAAACCTTCCTCTTCTTCTTTAGGGACTTCGACCTAGTT